AGAAAATTTACTCAAATCTCTTTTAAACTTATAAGAATATATGAAAATGAGTGATATTGAAACTATACGAATAATTTTATCATGCGATTGTGTTTTATTTCTGCTATTAACTGTATATTTTACCATATAAAAACCAGAGAGAAATAAAAGTAAATACAATTGCCATACCACTACCATCCTACTACTACCGCATACTCATACACTTTTTACTCTTTTTAGCGTAGTAGAACATTTTGTTGAGTGAAGAATTTAAAGATTTTTGCTAATGAACATTTTTTTTTAACTACAGAGTAATTTAAAGTAAACAATGTTATTTTTATTTTTCTTCTCATACAAATAAACATTTATGAGCTCCTGTTATTTTTTTCGATATGAAATTGTTAAGAAAATTGTTTATGAAAAAAAAAAACTAAAAAATTTGAAAAATTTTTCACTTGTATTTTTTTATGTTCTCCTATGATTCTATTTGTGATGCAAACCCACATTTATCCGGGGCTCAAAAATGTTTATGTTTTTTAAACTTTTCGTAAAGTGAGGGGTGAACGAAAGAAGCATTTTTTTTTGCTTAAGATACTAATTTTGAAGTTAAAATTAGGGTTTTCATTTTAATGATGCCGAATATCACTAAAATAGCGTTTTAATTCAAATAATACCGGAAAAGCTCAAATTTAAAGTACTTCCATACCAACATGTGAATATGTGAGTAAATTCACAACCAACACATTTATGTATGTTATTTGAAGCCAAAAGCTCATATTTCTGCTAACTGAAAAAATTCTCGGACAACAGAAAATTATATACTTTGTACGTACACATGTAAACGTACTTAGTTTAAATTCATTAAAAATCTCTTATTTCTTGCTTTTCGGATTATGTTAAAAAAATTATTCCTTTACTAAATTCAAGTTTTTATACATTTTTTTTTGTCAAAATTCACAACCCTACATCAATATACAAAAATCTATACTACTTTGTTTATTTTCTTCTTCATTGCCAGGATAACATTACCAAAACTAAGAATGCATTGCCTTCCCACATTGCATTTTCCTAAGAAACCTCTGAAAATTTCTTTCACTCTAAAATTGAGAAATGAAAATCTTATTTTAAATTTTTTTTTCCCATCTTTCTTTCTATCTCACTTATGTAACTTTTGCGCTATAAATGTAAACAAATGTTTTATTTACTTTATATGTCACCTTTATAGCATTATTGATGCATGCGTAATGAAGTTTTTTTTTTCATTATTTTCATTATTCATAGTTCAGTTTTTTTTCAAAGAAAAAAAAATAAGTACTTTTTACCGGTTTATTTTGAACCCTCCAGTAAAAATAATCGCACAGTATGGAGTGACGATGATAAAATTGAGTACATCCATCAAAATTCAAAATTATTTTGTACATTTTCAGAATTACATGCTAGGAAAATAAGTGCACCTCCAACAAAATTTATTGAAATCATTATAATCAAAATTGTGGAGAATTTGGAGATATATCTAAGCCCTGAAATGTAATAAAAAAAATTTCAAGTTCGAAATAAGTACATATACTGTCGTAACACTAGCTTAAGCCGGTAAATGAATTTTTAAAATTTGCAATATTACATACATACATACATAATACATAGTATATATTAAGAGTATATACTTGCCTTAAAGCAGTGAACAACAAAACAAAATTTAATATGACATTTTTTTTTATAATATAAAATGTATACTTACAAATAAGCGATAACATAACAGAGAATGATGTAGTTGAATTAAAAATATGAAAATGAGAGTGAAAGTATTTCTCTCTCTTACTCAAAATTATTTTTTACTTTCCTTTAAATTCTCATTCTTCATTTTTTTCTCTTGATCTTTTCTCAAATTTTCTCTTCGTATGATTGATTTTTTTTTCGTTAGTATTGTACACGTTGTTAAAATAAATTCCGGCAGGGTGTACATAAATTGTTTTTTGTTTGTGGCGTTTTTTATTAATAAAATTCTATGGGTGGATAAAAAAAATGCATTAATAAAATAAAATCGTTTTTAAACTCACTCCAAAATAAAAAAAAAACGGAATAATAATTTTTTTTGCTATTGATTTTTTTTTTAAGATTTCTTAGTATGAATGAGGAGTGTTTACATTTTTTATTTTTTTTCTTACAATTCTTGAATTATTTTGAATTTTTTTAAAAGGTGTACATGGAAATGGAATAAAGCACACTTAAATTTTTGACGTATAAACATTTCCATTGAGTTTTTTTTTGTATATTCCTGTAGAATCTAAGGCTGATTTAAACATCAAAACTTTTTTGATGTGAAATCAGATTTGCTCATACTAAGGAAGTGTGCGAGTATGGGAGTTACATTGCAATATCGATACAAAACGATTTCACAAAGAACAATATTAAGCAAAGAAATGAAGAATTTGAATTCGAAACAGCTTCAATTTAAGCATTATACATAAGTTTATGTTCTTATTTTTACACTAATGATGACCTGCTATAAAAATTTCAATTTAATTTAATTGTAATATTAAAATGATAAACACAGTTATTTTTTAAAGGAAGAAAAACTGATTTAGAAAAAAAATGTACTTGGTATTTTTTTTCAATTTAATAAGAAAGAAAAACTTTAAAATGAGAAGCAACAACAAAATATTTCAAAAATATTGCTGAATATTAAAAAGAATAAAAATAATGGACCTTAAATAAAAGAAACTTAAAGAAAAATAATGGACCATGACCTCACTATATTAAACTGTCAAGAGCATTGAGAGAGGAGAGAGTAACAAAAAAATAGTAAGGCAAGCACAGGATTTGAATTAAATTAAAAAAAAAATTAATTGGAAAATTAAATTGCAATAAAATTGCAATTTTGTGAGTAAATTACTGGGTTTTCAAAAGACCAAGAAGATGTTGGAAACAAGAAAATGTTGGAAGCACGTTGTGTTCACAAACGAGTTGCATATCTTTTATCAGTATGATCTTATTTTTTAGTAAGGAATAAAATGATCTTATCTATGCTATGGTCCTATGGAATATACATAGACCTGTGGTTACAACTTGTTAGTAAAATGTAATAAAGGGAAGAAAATAATAATTATTTCTGTATACATAAATATGTTATTGAATTAACTTTATAATTTAAGAATTATTCCAAATGTATGTGCATATAAATTAGAGATATTGCAAATTTTGGTACATAAAAATTTTTTAGCCAAAGCATATTATTATTTATATACATAAAAATTATGCCTTTCGGCATAAATAATTATACGTTGGCTATAATAATATTTAATGCGGTCACGAAGAGATTAAAATGAACGAAAAAATCTACATTCTTAATAGATATTTCTGTCAAAGTATATTTACATTATGCAATTATATAAAATCAAACATATTTAACATTTCAATTTGCAATTGATCAGGCGAATTATTGCATGCAAATTTTTCTAAATATCTTTTTTTTAGAATATAATAAGCTTAAGCATAATTGAGGTCCACTCTTATAAAAGTATTTTTGTAAAATACTTATGTAAAACGAAAATAATTGTAAAATCTAATGCCAAAATTTTTTAGAAAATTCATGTCGAGACCCTAATTTTTATAATGCCATGAGAATTTCATAATTATATCGCCTTCTTATACATATCCATATATAAATACATATAAGTATGTATATGTGATTCATAATAATTTACACACACTACTAGAAAATATAATATTATTTGCGGTATTAAATGACAAAAATTAATAGTTAAATTGTGTACAAATGAAAGAAAAAAGAAAAATCGCAACGAAACCAGGCAAAAAATATTTGTTAGTGTACTTAATTAAAAAAAAAATTGAATTAAAACAAAAATTATTGACTTATGTACTTTTGCCTATATTGTTTAATTACAATAACTTTTCATCACATCATTAACTATAAAAATGATTTTGACAATTTTTGTATTTAAATACTATGTACTTATCATTAAATATAAATACCGTAAATTAAAACTGGTAAAAAAGGTCTCAAAATAAATTATATGCCTTTAAGTTTACATGTAAAAGAATATTTTAGGGACAAACGAATATTATATACATAAGTATATATATATGTATATGTATATATATACTAATTTAATTAAAAATTAAAAATTTTCATTTTACAATTAGATTTACATTTAAGGCTAATATTCCAGCGTATTAGATTTAAGGCTAATATTCCAGCGTATTAGATTTACGGCTAATATATTTTTAATTATATATTTTCCTTATATATAGTGACAGAAAAATTGCATGAGGTCGTGACAGAATTTAAATTTTCAATTCATAAATTATAAAAGTACAATGTATATTAAAAACTATTTGCCAGTACTGTATTTTATTACGTATTTATTATTGCTCATTATTATTATATTGTAATCAATATGTAGTTTATATGATCCATTTTTATACATTGTTTCTTCTACACACAATATACAAAGTATAGTTTTTATATTCTATTTATAACATGTATAGATGTTTATGTTTAGATTTTAAATTTCAGAAAAAAAAAGTAAGAGGCACTCTACTGTCTACAGCTACACAACACTAAACATACTACATATATTTATATTTATATTAATAAGAGATGATAAGAGAAGAGAAGAGAAGAGCAAAGAATATAGTAAAGAGAAGAGATGTTTCTTCTCCTTTTTTCCCTCCATAAGAAATTTTTATTTTTTTATATTTCTATTTCAGGTTTCTTTTTTTGCGGCACACACAAACCCAATACAAATTTAATACATACCGTACTGTAAATGTAAATATAATATATTATGTATATAGAAAAGCAGAGAAAAAAAAAATTTTATTTGATATGATGAGATAAAAAACCAGCAACAACAATACATAATAATATAATTTAAATAATAAAAAAAAAGGAAAAAAAAATTAATACACTGAAAGAAAAAAAAATTATTTTGTTTTTTTTTTTCTTTTTCATTTTTATACGGTATACGTACGAGTGTGCACAACAAACACAAACAAAATCGAAGAAACACAAAAAAAAAATATAAAAAAAAAAATTTATTTACTTTTTTTTTTAATACCAAAAAATTTTTATTGAAAAAATTTTTGAATGGTGGAGGGCCGAAAAATGAGAAAATAAAAAAAAAGAAAACTATAATAGAAAAAAAAATCTTCCGAAAAAAAAACACAAAACAGAAGAAGTGAAGTTTTTTTTTGTGCAATTTAAGAGCCAGTCGAGTTTTTGCTTTGATGGCGATGTGGTCATAAATATACATATTAGTGTTTTTTTTTTATATACACAACTTTTGATTTAATAAAAAAATAGAAAAACACAAAAATAAAAAAAACAGAGTGCCGTTTAAACGAGAAGAGGTTGGAAATATTTTTGCCTTTTTTTTTCCTTTGCTGCATTCTTTAATTATTATTGTCATTACTTTGGTAATTTTTTCTGGTTTTTTATGGAAAAAATTTCAAAAATAAATAAAAGAAAAAAAAAACAAGGAAAATCAAAATATAAAATAAAAATTATAAACAAAAATTTGAAAGTAAAAAAAAAAATAAATCGGTGTTTTTCGAATTAACTTTTAAATTTCAATTTGCGGTTCTACAAAAAAAATTTTTTCAAACAATTTTTTGAATTAAAATCAGAATTATTGTGTTATTTACCTAAAAATAAATAAATTATAACACGAAAAACCTACTAAGATATTAAAATTAAAAAAAAAAATAAAAATTATTTTTACCCACGTTGTTCATAATTAGAAAAATTTTGTGTGTTCCCGGATGACGGACAACAAAGCACAAGGCAATAATATTGTAATCGAATCGAAAAGAATTAAAAAATCAAAAAAAAAAAGCAAAGTACCGGTATTTAAAAAGTGAGTAAAAACATATTGAAAGAAAACAAAAAAATAAAACTCACCATACGCGCACCACCCCGTCGGATAAATGTGACATTTTAGGTGGTGTTTTGAATGAATTTCGTTTTTTTATTTTAATTATTTTTATTGAATTTTGAATTTTTATTAAACAATTTAACTATTATAATCGGAATTTTGAAGTATAACAATGTATAATATTATAAATAATTAAAATAAAAAAATAATTTGTCAAAATATTTTGAATTACAAAAAAAAATATAATTTACACATGTTGAATTTTTTTATGTGAGAATGCCCGCCCGGTGTGTGTAAATAAATTAGTGCATGCGAAAAATTTATTTAATAATAATTATAATCTAATTTTAAAAATACAAAATGTATTAAAAATTGATTCACCTTTTTTAATTTAAAAAAAAAAAGAAAATTATCAAAAATTCTGAATAAGGAATAAAAAAAAAAATTTCAATCTGAGTACTAAACCGAATTCATGTGAAATTTAATTCAATTTACCGATAATTTCAATTAAAAATAAATTTTATAAATAAAACAGTAATTAATTACGGATTCCCATTCAATGAAATTTAAAAATAAAAATACAAGTGAAATTTTAAAAATAAAACGTGGTTATTTAATTTTATTGCCAACAAATAATAAGATTATTATTCCGTGTATTAATTCTAATTTAAATAAATTAAAATTTTGAAGAATTATTAAAAATATTTACCTATCAATAATTATTTTATTGGATTAATTAACAACATACATACATACATACATAAGGTAATATAAAACAAGATCAAAAATTAATTATACAAAAGTTTTGTACAAAAAAAAAAAAATTCACAATTTTTTATGAAATTTTGAGAGAAAAGAAAAAGTGACATGAAAATTTTTACCACAATTTTAAAATAGAGAGAAAAAAAATTACTAATTTTGTTTTTTTTTTTTTTTGTTCCTCCATATTTTTTTTTATTTTCTATCGCTTTTCTAAAAGTTTTTTGTAATCATTTTAAACATTGTATAATAGTAGGTATATTTGTATATAAAATATGAAATGTTTAAATATCCTGTTATAATTATGTATATATGTACACATATTCATATTATTTTATTTGATATGGTTATGAACATATATACATACATATTTTAATGAAAATGTGTAAACTGTAAATACGATATAATATGTAATAAAAATGTATGACTTTAAATATAATATACATATAGATATATGAAAATGCTACATGGGTATATAAAAGTAAATAAATATTAAAATATAAAAAGTATGTTCGTACGTATGTATGCATATTTTTTTAAAGCATGCATACAACATAATGGAACCAAAAAAAAAAAAAATCCTAAAGTGTTGCCCCCTTTTGTCTTTTATTTTTCTTTTTTCTTTCAATATTCTCTATCTCTGTTCTTTTCGATTCGAACTCCTCTTGGCCCCTTTATCCGTTTATCATAAATATAGTTCAATTTAAATTCATATTTTTTTAATACTTTATATTTATATATATGTATATGTATACACACATTTATATTATATAATAATAATAATCATAGGGCAGCATTTTTTTGTTTCCCATTATATTTTTTTCTCTTTTACTCATATAATTTTTTTTATACATTATTATAATATTTTGTTAGTGTACTGTAAATATTAAAGGTACTCGTAAATATTATGCTCCAATATTGTGTGTAAAATATGTACTGTACTGTTTTTGTTATTGTGTAAAAGGGAATAAAAAAAAAAATTCTCTCGAAAATATTTTTTATTTTTCAAATTTTCTCTCAATTTCTAAACTAAGTATATAATATAACAACAACTACACCACCACAATATACTTTATTTTTATATTACTTATTTTTTCTGTAAATTTTTTTTTTTCTTCATTTTTGATTTTACTGTTCTTATTCTACTCTCCTACACCTCTCTCTAAAATATCATGTTAATATTGATATTTATTATAAAATATTATAAATAGCTACATATATATGTATATATATAAATGTACTATCATCTAAAAAAGAAATTAAAAAAAAAAATTACATTTACATATATTTTATTATACGAACTTTGTATACCGCCGCACCGCAATTTAAAAATATACATTGTAATTTTTATTTATAATAGGTGTATTATGTATGTACATATGCATGTACTCATGTACAATACAGTAATACACTTACAATATCTAGCTATATATTAATTATAATAACATAATAATAATATCAGCATGGCATTATAAAAGTTATTACGTACTAGATAACATTTTTGGGAATTTGTCGGGATTTGCGATACTAGAAATGATACATAGCCTAAAATTTTTTTTATTATATAGTCTTCCTGGCTGTAGAAAAACCTAATTGTAATTTGTTTTGCTTTTTTTTTTTTTGGAATATAGCGCCTTCGTTTTGTTATTTTCTTTATTCAAATCCGTAATAATTAAGAACATGAACGCGAAAGAAATTAATAGAAAATTTACAAAAAAAAAAAAAAAAAAACGTTTAATGTCACGGTCATTTGTGTCTTTTTATAATAAAAACGAATTGTATTGTAGTTATACGGTGGCCAAAATCAAAAACATAATACATATACATACGTTACGTATGTCTGTACATTATTTACAAATAGCAAAGTAGAGTTGGAATATAAAAAACTACTATTGCCTTTGAAAAATTAAGTTTAGAGCTTAATGTTCTTAAAGGTTACTCGTAAATAGTATGATCCAATATTATATGCAAAATATGAAACATTTTTATAATTTTTAATAAAACATTCTGCTTTACTCAGTTTATTTTAATAAAAATTCATAAGAGATGTAAAAAATATTTGCACATTCTTGTATAAACGTACTTGGAAGACAAGATTTCGAATAGAAATTAAATAAAAAAGCATAAAAAATATTAAGTAATAGGTGTGTCTTTGCTTTAAAATTTGTTTGATATCTAACACTTTCGTAAAGCGATAGCTTTGCTTTCCTTTTAAAAAGTCAGTTCATAAATTCAAATGCAATCCGATTTTATAAAAAACAGCTTTTAGCAATCAATTGAATTTAAAAATTAAAGAAAGTACTTACTTAGTTGATTTTAATTTGCTGAAATTTTAAAAAATTTCAGAATACGAGTAGAGAGTTCTTTCAAAAAATTCATTCGTTTGTTATAAGTATACTTATACAATATAAATTACAATTCAACTACTTCTTATTTTTATACACCTCAATTATATTTAAATTAATAAATTTTTGTATTAATTTGCATGCATATTATTCTTTGCTCTTGTGTAAAATGTAAACGTATAGAATTTGTTTCATGAAGAATCAATTAAAATTTATTCGAATAAAACAGCACAATTGAATTTTTATAACATGCAAGAAGTACCCATTTGTTGTTTTTTCAATAAAATATTTTACAATATTGCTATTTAAAAATGAATTAATTTTAGTATTGGCAATTTACGGTATTAAATAAAAAGTCGAACTCGAAATGTGGTAATGTAAAAGGTAGGGCATATGAGAAGATTCCGTAGGTAAAACAAATTTTTATCCAAATTAATTATTAAAATATTTTGGAGCTAAAATAATATTTTTGAACCGGCGGCAATTGAAACGATAATGCTGACGATTTTGTTTTCGTGTGCATTTTCGAAAATTTATTTAAAAATAAAAACAATTTAGAGATTTAAGCGAATTTTGTTCAAAATATACAATATATATGTATTTACAATCTTTAATTATTTTTGTACTTCAAATGGCAAGTATTCAAAGTCATTTTAATCTATATCCAAGAGTCTTTATCTTGTTCCTTTAAATAAAATTATGGATTAAGTCAAAAGTGAAAAAATATAGGAAATCCAAAAATTTTTTCCCCAAAAACTAATTTAACTAGGATTTCCGTCTGGTATTGATTCGTTGAATGTTTTTCGCGGAATACCCTGCAGTAGATTTAGAGTTCTATTATAATTCCTTCAGACTAACAAGCTCTTATTTAAAACCCTTAAAAAAATGGTCTCCCAACATTGCTAAAATAATTTTATAAGTTAAATAAGTATTGAGCAGCACTCTTCATCATTCCATACAAATATTTGCTAAAAAAATAATAAGATAATAAAAGTATTGCTAGATCGACTCTTGGCTATTTCAATTTTCCTTAATCTTCAGAATAAAAAAAAAAAATTTATAAATTCTTAAATAATTTGCACTTTTTTATAAAAAAAAAAAATTACTTATTTAACATTTTTTATTTGAAAATCACAAATAATTGTGCAATACTTAAATTTCATCAAAAGAGAGACAGAGAGAGAGAGAATGAGGAAAAAAAACATAAATTCATGAATTTTGCACATCACCCGCGCAATTTTTAGGCATAAAAAAATTTTATTTATTTTTTTTTTTTTTCTATTCGCTGCAGTACTGAGTTTGTTTTCAAATACATACCCGACAAAAAAAAATCTATACTTACAAAATAAAAAACTACAAATTACGAGAAAAAAAGCACTGACTTTGAATAATTTTTGCCCTATTCTCATACAAAAAAAAATTCACAAAAAAAATATATGTAATAATAATTTTATAAGTTGCACATAAATACACACAAATGAGATAGAATGAACAAAAAAAAAAAACACAAAACACTGTAGAAAACAAAAAAAAAATTATTTATTTAGGTAATGTTGCCAAATATACTTACATACTTACTTGTACCACACAACTTCACAGTAAAAGTTACAATATTATAATTACTAAGATTTAGAGAATTTATTGGAGAACAATCATTCTATATTCCATATTAAACCATTCTACTTAATACATAATATTATAAATCCCTGATATAGCTCAGATTTAATAAAATTCAGATTTCTTATGCCCAACAATAAAACGATTATGCCTGCTATTGCTTCAAATATTCACTGTCTCCTTTTTGTAGTTTTAGCGGAACAGCGAAATAATAATTAAGAATAAAAATTAAGAATAAAATCTAATATAAGTTTACATTTTATATCATACTGTGAAACACAAGTTATTCGCTAACCATATTTTCATAAATTATTTTAGTCAGTTACCATAAATTTGACAGCCTTCGGGAAGAAATTTTGAAATCTTTTCTTATGATAATAATCACCCAAATTCCAGTCCTACTCTTTTCATCAGCAACTTAAATTGCCGATAATTTAAATTTCATTTTCAATTTAACTAAATTTTTATTGTTTTTGGGTTGTCAATTGTTTAATTTTGTTTTTTTTTTTTTTTTTCTGTCTTTTGGACCTTTCTCCCACTTCGACTTTATTGTGAGAAATAAGACTGTTCAAATTATATGAGTATTATTTTACTTCTTTAATGTCAAACACTTTATTCTAGAAAATATTTTTTAAAAAGTAAAGAAACCTGGCAATGTCTACACAAAAAAAATTACAGCATTTTTTAAACACAATTCCATAGTCACAAACCACCCCCGTTCAATAAAAAAAAAATTGTTTTAGTTTTTAAACTTTTTTTTTTATTTTTAATTTTTTTTTTCTTTATTTACTTTTTGTCTTTCTCTTACACTTTCAAATAATAACATTGTTGTTTTCTCTTTCTATGCCAGTTTTATTTTTTTCCTTTTTTTTTGCTAAACATACATACAATACAATGTATGGTATAGATAGACTAAAAAAAAATCCTGAAATCCTGACGTTTCAAAATTTAGACCGAAAATTAAAAAAAAAAAAAAAATTTTTTATAATGCTATTCACGTGTTTGTGTGTTACCTTTATAATAGAGTTCATTGGAGAGAAGAAAAAAAAATTTTTTTTTTTTTTGGAGCATTAGCATTTGATTGTGTGTAGGAACAAAAAAAGTAGAAAAAGAAAATAAAAAAAAATTTTTTTTTTTGTATCGCGCCTTTTTTTTTGTGTGTTTTTGCAAGTGCAACTTTTACTTGCCATAAGTGCAATAGTGTGTGTGTGCGTATTTATTAATATTATTTGATTTTCCATTTTTTTTTTATTTAAAATATAATCTATTATAAAAAACCAAAGCATAAAAAAATGCCAGTGGTGGAGTTGGGTTTTTTTTTGTATTAGATTGCTGTTATGTTGGTTTGTGTCATGTGTGAGAAAGAAATAAAAATTAAAAATTAAATTTAAAAAAAACAAAAACTTTTGGGTAATTAAATAATTAAATTTTCATTTTATTTTTCACATAATAATTGAATTTATCACTTATTAAAAAAAATATTGAATTATTTTAATCATTCTATATGAAGAACGCACGCCCAACGCAAGGGTTGTGAACTGGTTCAGATAATTTTTTTTTTTTTAATGAGGCGCTACAATTTATGAAACACCTAACAAGTCACCAAATAAAATTAATTTAAAAGAAATTGTATTAGAGTTAAGAGTTATTTTTTAAAATAAAATTAATTTTCCAGTGCCGGAATTTTCCTCATCGTAGAGAATTTATCTAATAATTTGAAAACCTACTAGTCCCAAGCTTATTAGTTTGTAGATTTTAAACCATTAGTTTATAGATGTTTTGACAAAAAACAATAATATTTCATTTGGTAATGAAAACATATGGAACAATTTTATATCTTATTAGTTGTCACATAAAGGGCCTCCACGGAACAGTGAAAAATTGATCTAGTAGCGATCACTTAACATTTGCAATCATCTGTAATTTTTTATTTTGCAATTTCGTACTGTATTGTATGAACAGGAATAGGCTATTACATATTGAAAAAACTGTAGATATTAATCGAATTCACTTTTCTGGAGAAAGAAAAATTTGTATATATGTATATGCATAGTCAATTGTAGTAAGTACACATGGCCGGCGCTATTATTATTGTAAAACATCATTGACTATAAAAAATCTCCATTTGAAATACAATCAACTTGAAGCCGACGATATGTCGAATTGTCAATTTGCATAGTCCGATAATTTTAGTACAAGAGATTTTCAAACTTCTTTTGACTTAATATGCCACAAAAAACAAATAGAATGAACGAAGTCGGTAAAGAAATTCGGAAAGTACTACCTATATCAGTATTCGATTTGATCAAATCGAATCAATCTCTTGATTAGAGAAATTTTGTAATAAAAGTTGGTTAACACGCACATTATGATTTTTAGAGGCCAATGTAATACAAAAAAAACGAAAAACCACTTGTTTTGATTGTTTTTTGTTTTTCTATTGAAGACAAAATATCCTTAATAATTAGTCCTTTATTTGTTGATTTTTTGTTTGTGTTCTTAAAAAATCCTTGACGTGTAGTATGTGAACAACAACATTATAATAAAAAAAAATTTTTTTTTTGGTAGATTCCTGCCCATCCATACATTTTTATTAGTAAACATAGAAATCTTTTTTTTTTTGTAAATATGTCTGTTCATACATGCCTACATTAGTAGCTACATACTTACATACTTAATATAACTATGTTATTTGAGTTGAAAGTTATTTACATTTCATATCATAAACGGTTCCATACACACATTTACATCTGAATATATTATATAATAATATGGGTTTGATAAGGAAACTGTTTGTTGGGCTCGTTTTTTTTTTTTGTTCGACTATATTTGCACATTTTTATTTTTTGTTTCTGTCTCTGTCTCTTTTACTTTTTTTTTTTTTTAATTTGGATTTTTTTTTAATAAAAATTTTGTGTCTCTTTTTTACTTTATTGTGACAATTTTTATTGATTTTTATTATGTACTGTCCAAAAAACACAGAGAAAAAAAAAGAGAAAGAAGAGAAAAATTAGAAAAAAATTTCCTTTTTTTTTTGTGTTGTTTTTGTGGTAATAATTTTTATGCAACAAATTTTTTTTTCCTATTTTGATTGGTAAATTTTAATTTTATTTTTTAGGATTTTTTTTTTACTAAAATATTAAAAAAAAAAAAGAAGCAAAATTTTTTAAACTAAAATCATATTTTTTGTTTTCTTTGTTTTTTGGTTTTTTCAAATGGATAACAGCATTAATGGTGAATAGTAGGAAGCAGAGTTTTATTTTTAAAAAAAAAGGAACAAACTGAGTGAAATTGAAATTTTGAGCTGTTTGAAAACATAAATTAAAAAATTTTACTAATAAAAAATTTTGAATTAAAAAAAAAATAATAAAACAAAAAAATAGCGTGGCCTTATCCAAATTTTTTAAATATAAAAAAAATTAAATAAAAAAAATCATAATAGTTGAGCAACAGCAAGCAAAAGTGTATGTAAAAGAAAAAGAAAGAAAAATTAAAAAAAAAAAATTACAAGGAGAGAAAAACTCCTCAACAAAGGATAAAGGATTAAAGTGCCTTATTTTGTTGTTGTTTTTTTTATTATTATTTTCCAAGAAAAAAAAATAACAAAATATTTTTGTTATTTTTTTTTTTTTTTGCTTTTAATTTTAATTTTTTTCCTGTGTACTTATTTTTTTTAGTGAAAATTACTCAGCTCATATTGCTAAAAAAAATTTTGCAAGGTGTTTAAAATAAAATTTTTTAAAACAAGAAAGAAAAAAAAAAACAATATTTTTAAAATATTTCGGGAGAAAAAAATAATTTTCATCATTTTATTTAAAAAAAAAAAAATAAATTTAATTTTCTGTGCTCTAAACCCAAACAATTTTATTCAAACTGAATTTTAAAATTAACAAAAAAAAAAAAATATAATTTGAAAAATTAAAAAAAAAAAAATTTCCTTTTTAATAAAAAAAAAACTCTATAAAAATTATCACACTGGAAGGTCGTACTATTGAATACCGGCCCGGTGGTGGGCTGGATTATCACAATTCTCCATTAATGGCTGAAATACCAGGTGGTGATTATTTACATCGTTCAATTGATCAATTAAGATCAATGAATGAACGTGGTGTATTAGGTCCATTAGGACATTTAACATCAAGTGATTTACGTGCAACATTAGTACACGATTATAAACCATTTAATATAACTGATTTAAGACAAAATGTTGAAAGATTAGATTATGCTGTTAAAAATAGTGTTTTAGATAGACATATTTTAAATAGCAATGCTAGTCAACAGCAACAGCAACAACAACAACAACAGCAGCAGCAGCAACAACAACAGCATAATGGTAATATTAATGGTGGACAACAACAACAACAAAATAATGAACAAGATCAACAACAATCTCAACAACAACAACAACAGCAACAAGATATGAAACAATCATATAGTAATCCATCGACACCAACAAGTCCATTATCAGAAGGTCATATGCAAGATACTAAGGTAAAAAAAAATTTTTTTTTTAATTTAAAAATATTTAATTTTAAAATTGTTACTTATAATATTTTTTTGAATAATTTTTTTGAGAAAAATTGAAGAGAAATTTTAATTTCAATTTAAGCTAAATGTGATTTTTAAATAACTTCTTTAACACTCCCTTGAAATAGAACATTTTTATTTTCAATTACATTTCATTACCATTTCAACAAATTGGGACCCTTAATTTTCAAATATTTGCTAAAATTCTTAAAACGGGTGTTTGTAAGTATTTGTAAGCTTGTAGAAGTTCGTCTTGTGCATTTATACTTAAATTTGAGACTCGTATTTAATGTCAGCATAAGCATATTTCTTATGCATTAAAAATTTTAACCGGAACTTTGATTTATGAACAAAAATTAAGCTTTGATTCAATTGCCATGTTCACGAGATCTGTTTGCCGTAAATATGTGGACATGTTTACAGTTTGTTGGAATCCTAAATAACTACTTCAGATCAAAAAAATTCTATTAAAAATTAATAAATCTTCGAAGAAATGTCTTCATTTTTTTTTTTTTAACTTTATCGTCTAAATAAAAATTTTAAGTAATAAAATAAAAAAAAAATAAAATTTTTAAATTTATTATTAATAAGTCAAAAAGCCGCTTTTTTTACTACTAAATTTATTTAAAATTTACTTTATTAAAAATTAGCTGATTTTCGGTTGTCGTTAATTTTTTGGAAATTTTTTTTTAAATTGTTTCATATAAATAAATGGTTTTTCGATTCCCCGTTATATGAAATTTGTTATTCTGTTTCTTTAATAACATCTCATTACCTATAATACACTTAAATTTGTAAGAAAAGCTCAAAATATTTAGAAGTTTATATATGATTCTATACAATATCCGGTAATGAATTTAAACTAACAGACTATATTCAACACTCTGGACAGTAATAAATAAAAATTTGGCAATTTCCCAGAATGTCTTCAGCAAAGACAAAAGTCATGAATTCCAATATTTTTTGAAGCTAATGTCAGAAATTTAACTATAATTACAAAAACCTGCGGAAGCATTTGTGTGCTACTCTACTGCATTTTGAGGGTACAATTTTTAAAATATATTGCACCATTTGCAATTGAAAGTAATTGACATTATTCCTATAATCATCAAATTTATTAAGGTTTGGGAAAGTACCGTTAACGTAAATTTTTAGATGGGTAACTGTTTCAAAATTTATATCAATAGTGTCCATTTGTCAAAGTTGCTTGAGTAGTTGCGTGTTGACAAGACTTTGACCGATTTTTTTAAATCTTATTTTTATCGTAATTGTCGTAGATTGAAACTCCTGTCGCTTTCACTCATGATTGTTTTTAAAAATGCACCCTGTTTTTACTGTGATATTGAAAATTGAATTTTTTTTTCGATCACTTTGTACTTTGTGTCAGACGGAATGAATTTTTTGAATTTTTCATTCTAAAATTTTTGTTAAGAAAAAAAAATATTTTTCCCTCGTAATCGAGCGTTTATTTTTTTTTTTTGCTTACTTTTGTTTTCATCGTTTTTGCTTTTTTTTTTATAAAGAAAATAATCTTTTTTTTTTTTAACTTTGTATCTTTTTGCTTTTATTTATTTGTTTAGTATTTTTTTTTATCTCTTTACTTTTATTTTTTTTTTTTGTTTTAAAATTAGACCCACGTGCCAAAATAGTAGTAGGTATAAGTATGTATGTAATTTATACATGGTGTACATACAAACGCACACACATTTTTGTACGTTAAAATTTTTTTTTAAAAAGAAATTGCTATTTTCCGTTTACTTCTGCTTGTCTTCTTATTTTTTCATAAATTCTTAATTCTAAATTGGACATTCCAATATAATAATTTTGAAAATAAGAAAAAATAAAAAAAGTTTTTTTCTCTCTCTCTTTTCTTTATTAATAAATAAATAAATAAATAATAACGAAAAACTAAATAAGAAAATTTGTTAGTGAAATTAAAGCCGACATCGTCGCCTCCAACGCAAATAAAAAAAAAATTATACAATATCAAATGAGCAAAAATGTTATAAAATAACCAATTATCAGTGTGATTATTACATTTAATGTTGTTTATGCTTGTATGAATGAAAATAATAAAATAAAACGACTTTAGCCATATACCCAGTACGAACAGGTAGTTTGGTTCTGGATTTTGCTGATTTTTGTTGTTAAACACCAAGTATACACAGTGTCAAAATTTCAATCAAAGCCGAAGTTTGAAATGGACTTAATAATCACAATATTTTATAATCAATCTCAATTATTAATTATATTTTTCGACTGTAGAATGTTTATATACATACCTTATTAATTCTACAACATCTTCTGAACGAAGCATATTGTTTTTAGAATTTATTTTAACCATAGTTATTCAGGGTTAAAAAATTTTTATAATTTGATAATTAACATGTACATGTGCATGTATATATGTATGTATGTAAATATTATAATTTAGTGTAAAGGTACTATAAATGGCATTACAAGTTTCCGTAATGTTTACACGTTTACAAAAATTTTTTATTTTTAACTCTTTTATTGACCTATACTACTTACTATTAAAAGGAATATTTGAAATTTAAGTACTTAAAGACAAATATGAACCGAATACATACTGTGCGGTTCGAAATTTGCAAATAAAAGAAAATTTTATACCGTTATCTGAACAGCAAATAATTATTTGATTTACTTCAAATTATATTTGGTTGAATAAAATTGTGTTTTTACTATTATTTTAAGTTTCGGAAAATTTTTATATAACAATTTGAATATTAAATTTGCAATTTGAAAATACTTTTGCAAATAAACAAATTCATATATCCATGTTGCTTCAAATACGTTTTGAATGCGCTGAAAAAAAAAGACAAAGAACGTCAAAAAAAAAGAAAAAGTCAATGCTTTATATAAAATTTAAGAATGCAATGCTGGTAAGGTTTTAGTGTATTTGATTCATTTTATTATTCTTCAGCCTAAAACTAACTTCATTTATGACTTTTTATTTTTGTTATTCTCTTCATAAATTGAAATTAAAGTTTGAGAGTTTTAAGACAAGTTATCAAAATTTTAATTGTAAATGATATTTCAACGAGCATTCCTATATAATCTATTTCGAAATACATATTCAAACCCTTTGTCCGATATTTGTGGTAATAATTTGCTGTCCGATTTGTTTGGATATAATGTCCGAAACTAAATACGAATTGTAGAATTTGAATTTCGGCAACACGCAACAATGCCAATTCAAAACAAAATATTTATGTACGTATTTGATTGCATTCCAATTTTCGAAATTCAAAATTCGGAATTCGAAATAATATATCGAAAAGTGTATAATAGTACATATAGAATTTTTCTTGTCTTTATTTCGTAATTACTAGCATTCTTTCATGTTATTTAATTAAAACAAAAAAAAAAAAAAATCTAAAAAATCTCAACAAAAATAAAAATAAGAAAAAAATTCTTCATTTTTTATCTTTTCTTTTCTTTTCTATTTCGATTTTAAATTTTCTAAATTTAGAAGAAGAAAAACATTCTTTTTTCGCATTTTTTTTTTTTTTACAATTTTGTAGAAATATGTGTTTTTTTTTGTCAATATTTAATTTTTTTTTTGCCAATGTGTTAGTTTTGTTTGCTATACTTTAAAAAATATAATTACAAGTATATGTACATACATTGTTATGTATACCTATACTCTTTAGAGCTATGCTGGAATGAACTGAAAATTATAGTGAGTATAAGTATAACATGATAGATAATAAGCATAACATAAGTAAGTAATAGAAAAAATATCAAGTTATACACCCACCCACACATATGCAAATGAAAATTAATATTTTATTTAAATAAAATATTAAAAAAAATAAAAGCAAAAAAAAAGAAAAGTAATTTTTTATCGATTTTGATGAGGTTGATTTATTATTTTTGAAAATTTACATACAAACGGTTTATATATAAGATATATATATATATATATATATGCTATTTGTATATAATATATATATATGCTATTTGTATATAATTATAGGGCTACATATTATTGACTATTATAATATACGAATACGATATATATGAATAGTGTGTCTGTATGTTTAAAAATATGTAATCATTTTGCATATATCTGTACGCAATGTATGAAAGTATGTTAAAAATTAATTCTATTTTTTTGCTTTTTATTTTATTATTTGTTCGTTAAGAGAATTCTTTAATACAAAAATCTTAAATAAAAATTTTCAACATATCAACAATAATAAGTATAAAACGTACATATATCTATATTTGTAACTACATATTATATGTATGAATGTTTGAGTATTGTGTATAAAAATGAAATATAATCATGTGTGTTATATTGGATTGTGTTATAGAGCGACCCTTGTTTTGCAAAAAAAAAAAAATATAATAATATATTTTTTATACGATATCTACATTTCTATAGAGCTATATATGCACGTACTCGTATATTGTACAAGATTATTATATTGAAAGAAGGTATTTACATATGTACATATTTATTTACATTTTATTTTCTTACCTATTTATACTATATATACATAATAATATGTATGTATACATATTTCTAATACATATCTATATAAATGAAACTTAAAGCCTAATATATACATACATACATATACATAATGTTAAGTATTGTATAAGAAATAAATCGGTATAAGTATGTGCATAGATACTTATATACATTTTCTTGAACATATAGAATAATATTTCCTTAGGATATAATAATATCCTTATATGATGGATATAAAATATACAATGTAGTTACATACATACTTACTATAATTTAAAATCAGTGACGTTTTATCTCATTCAAAAATATTTTGTTTTTCGTTGAAAATATTGTTAATGGTTATCCTTTTTTTATTTATATTTTAAAGCAGGTATTTCAAAAATGCGGCCCACAGCTCCGTATCCTACGTCCCTTTACGATTTTTGAAAATTGTGAAATTTAATTCTAATATTTTTATTACAAA